GGCCGGTGTGGTGAGGGGGATCCTGGGCTGGGTTTCAGACACGTTGGGTTTGAGATTACTTGAGACATCTAGAGGATGTTTTGAGAAGACAGAGGGTGCATGAGTTTAGATCCTAGAGGTACGTTTGGGTTGCAGATGAAATTTGTGGGTCTTCTGCACAGAGATAACAAGTGAAGGCACAGGTACGATGGAATCATCTGGGGAGCTAAGTGTGAATCCACATCACATGACAATGGTTTTCTGCTGATTTTCAATGAAGAGATAACTACTAATTCATTTATACCTAAACCTTCTGAAGTGACTTACACAGATTTAAAATCCTTTCTAGTAATTATTCACATTTATCTATCTGCAATAGATATCCGAAAACGGCAGGGTTATCCACAGCCTGGAAAAATCGGTGTCGGAGAGCAGAGCCTTGCTATTTATCAAAGCTCAGAAGGGAGTGGACATGAAAGCTAACTCCCTCTTTATCTGAATCTGCTAAAACCACCACATGGAGCAAACACATATAACCTAAAACGTTCTACTGCTTTAAATTGGCTTAAAGTTTAAAATATGTTTGAAAAAATGTGGTTGGAGAATTTGTCAAATCTTACAGACACAAAACTTAAATATGCGTGGACATAATCAATCAGAGCCCTCTGGGTTGTCTCATCTTCCTGCAAGGAGCAAAACCTCCTTACGTACATTTTTCACATTCATTAGCAGTGAATTCCAATACCAGCTGCTCACCCTACTGTGCATTACAATCCAGTCCAGCAGAAAGTATTTGTCCTTCAGGCCATCCCTGTGTGAACCTAAGACTGGAGTGATTTATTCTAGGGAAGCATTGCCGGGATGGGGAATAGACAGGGTCTGTGATTAGTGGGCTCTCAGTGGGTGCCTTGGGGAAAGGGAGATTATGCATTTCTCATGAATTATGAGCAATTCATAATAAGTATTACTTCATCTCTGTACCACATTTTTCCCAGTTAAATAATAAATATGAATTGCTACCTGTGAAATATTTAAATATGAAACTGTTATTTGTTAATTACTGTGGAGCAGAAATCACATAGTAGCTACATAATATTGGATAAACTGTTGTATGCTATTTCACCTCTTAGGGTTTCTCTTTGCCCCAGTTTTAGGTGGCTTTGTAGGTAAGGTGCCCTCCCGAGTGAAGGCTGTCTTTCTAATTCCAGTGACGCAAACACCTGTGCAAACTATCGATGATGGCAGGAATACTAGTGCTACTTGAAAATTCATATGCTAAACTCAGGTTTTCTTTATAAGAAATTGTTCTAAAGCATTAAAAAAGTAGGAAGGAAAAACCAAAACACTTCTCTGAGCTTATACATGGGGTAAAAGATTCACTTTGAAAATCTGGGAGGTGTTAGGTTGGCTGAACCACAGACCTGGCTTGTGACGCTTTTCCTGCCACCTGTTAGGTTGTTTCATGATGGGAATGTGATGCTTCCCTCCAGCTGAGAACTCCACAGCTTCGCATTTTAAAAAGCCACGAATATAGGAGAACTGAGAACCGGAGTGTAGAGAGCATGGGTTTTGCGGGGTTTGGGGCTTGGATTTCCCATTGATTGGCTCTGTGGCTTTGGGCACTTTCCCGCTCCCTGTGGAGTATCTGTTTCCATACCTGAGAAGCCTCCTGCTCCGGGATTCTTGGATCAGGTTTCCTTGGGTGCTCTGTGTTAGCTGAGCCTGTGTACGGCTGTCCCCTTTGCTGCTAGAGAGGCTGTTGAACCCAGGTGTTAAGAGAAAACGTCTGCAGAAACTGAACCTTCGTTCCAGCATTTCCAAGCTGTGTGCAATTGAACAAGTTACTTCATCAGTTTACCGCACTTTTTCCCAGTTAAATAATGGGGTATTTATAGAATCTACCACATAGTGCAGTTGCAAAAATCAAAACTGATTAAATACAGGTAAAGCATTTAGGACAGTGAGTGTCTGCTGCTGTTCCTCCTATTTACTTCGTGCTAGGTTTGAAGCCCCATCAGCACTTAGTCCGAGTCATCAAAAAATGTCTGTGTGTACTCACTCCACGTGCTGGGCCTATCCAGTATACAGAGATTGGAATCCAATGTGATACATTTCACTTGGGAAGAGAAATCTTGTAACTGACCTCTTTCCAACCCTTTCTTCACTGCAGTCAAGGAGACTTCTTCCTTCCTTCCTTCCAGCAACCAGTCTCCCCCAACAGTCCTCCCTCATATCTGCTTTCACTCTCCCAGCCCCCACCTCAGTTTTAATGTGCTGGACCAGTGATGCAGGTAGTGATTTTGTAGGGGACAGTGTGTGAGTGCATGGGAGTGAGTATATGTGTGTGTGTGACTGTGTTAGTGTATGTGAGCATACATGTGAATCCATGTGTCAGTGTGTGAAAGTGTGGTAGTGTATGTGAGACAGCGTTAGTGTGAGCGTGACACTGTGAGATCAGGTGTGTGTGAGTGTGTAGATGTGTATCTGAGTGTGACAGTGTGTGTTAGTGTACGTGAGTATACGCGAAAATGTGTGTCCATGAGTGTCCAAGAGTGTGAGTGTTAGTGTAAGTGTGGTCGTGTCTATGAGTATGTGTGAGTGATTGTGAGCATGTCAGTGTGTGTGTCTGTGTGTGTGTCCGTGTGAGAGAGTGAGTGTGTGTGTGAAAGCATGTGTGAGGGTGAGAGTGTGTGTATGTGTGAGACTGTGTCAGTGAGTGTGTGTGTAATTCAAGGCGACCGGCGTAAAGTTGCTTCATGGTGACCCTAAGGCACACCACCGTAACTTTTAAAATGAATAGAACCCCTGGAAGGCATGCATGGGATACGGGCCAGGGAGCTGAATTTCAGAGAGTGGGAAGGTATAGCAGTGATTCTGGAAGCAATCTAAGGCAGTCTGAAACAATCATACCTTTCCAGCGACATGGTTTCAATCTATTGTGATTATACTTTCTCACTGGGTGTCTGAAATGCTCTTCCTATAATCTTGATTTATAAGGAGGAAGCCTAGGAATGAAGTAAGAATATTTTTCTTAAACATTTTTCTTTTCTCCTTTCAAAAATATTTCTAACTGTGATTAAATAAATGCCTTTTATACAGACATGGGCGGTAAAGCTGTCCTTTTACTTGCCTGCCCTTACTTCCAGTCAGAAAGCTTCGCGTTGGCAGTCAAGGGCCATTCATTGTGTTTTCCCGTATGAACTTAGTGTCCTCTTTTCCTTACCTTCCGTGGTAACTTTGTACAGGCAGTGCTCTTTCCAGCAGCTCACTGTAGACTGCTGTGTATCACTGTTGGTTTCACGGAGATTATTTGAGAAAGCTGTGTTCAGAAGTCAGGTGCAGGAATACATTTAAATTTTCTTTTGATTCGAATTAATTTTTGTATCATACTTTAAGTTCTGGGGTGCATGTACAGAATGTGCAGGTTTGTTACTTATGTATAGACGTGCCTCGGTGGTTCGTACATCCATCACCCCATCGTCTACACTAGGTATTTCTCCTAATGCTGTCCCTCCCCTAACTCCCCGCTCCACAACAGGCCCCAGTGTGTGATGCTCCCCTCCCTGTGTCCATGTGTTCTCATTGTTCAGCACCCACTTATGAGTGAGAACATGAGGTGTTTGGTTTTCTGTTTCTGTGTTAGTTTGCTGAAAATGATGATTTTCATCTTTATTCATGTCCCTTTAAAGGACATGAACTCATCCTTTTATATGGCTGCAAAGTATTCCATGGTGAATATGTGCCTCGTTTTCTTTATCCAGTCTGTCACTGATGGACATTTGGGTTGTTCCAAGTCTTTGCTATTGTGAACAGTGCTGCAATAAACGTGCGTGTGCATGTGTGTTTACAATAGAATGATTTGTAACTCTTCGGGTATATACCCGACAGCATTAGGAGAAATACCTAGTGTAGACGATGGGGTGATGGATGTGCGAACCACCGAGGCACGTGTATACATAAGTAACAAACCTGCACATTCTGTACATGCACCCCAGAACTTAATGGGATTGCTGGGTCAAATGGCATTTCTAGTTCTTGATCCTTGAGGAATCACCACACTGTCTTCCACAATGGTTGAAATAATTTACACTCCCACCAACAGTGTAAAAACGTTCCTATTTCTCCAAAGAAGAAACAACCCCATCAAAAAGTGGGCAAAGAATATGAATAGACAGTTCTCAAAAAAAGACATGTATGCAGCCTAAAAACATATGAAAAAAAGCTCATCATCACTGGCCATTAGAGAAATGCCAATCAAAACCACACGGAGACACCATCTCACACCAGTTAGAATGGCGAGCACTATGGTTTCTAAGGGGAGTGTGCAGCCCTCCCCATGGATCCTGCTGTTTATTGGGAAGATTTGCTTTGCAAAGTTCTGCTCAGCTGTCTGCTTCAAGAGGAACCTTTCTGAAATGGAAGCTTTGGAAATACCTTGTGGATCAGTTGCATAGAGGGGATACCTAGGTCTGAAAAAGTCTAATTCCAAAAGGATTAAAACAAGACACATTACTTCTCATCCATCCCCCGGCATTACAATGACTTCATTTCAAGTACGATGATCATGTTACATCAAATATGCCATCCTTTGACTCCTTCAGATAGGAAACGTCTCCCTGTTCTGAAATGTAATAAGCATGTGGTCACTTGTAATCTATCTTATCATGGTTGTAATCTTAATTAATACTCTAATTCCATTTACTGTAAACATTTTAATGAGTAGAAGAGTGATTTCACCAACCAGAAGGCATCGACTCAAGAGGCTCCCTGGGAAAAGGGGCAGCATCGTGACCCTTTCTGGGTGGGCCTTAGGTTCCCCTTTGGAATGTCGAGTTTTTAGACCCAGGACTGTTAAGAACAGAAGTGACAAAATATCTCAGCGTTTCTGATTTTCACTTGTGATATATAGTGGTCGGGGCTAGTGAAATTCACAATTTCAGCTGAAGCAGTTGCTAATTCTTCAAACATTTAATTTTACTCAGCAGCACAAAAAATAACCAACTTGATTTCGTGCCTTCCAGGTACATTCATTTCAACCAACTAGAAACGCTACAGCCAGAGACCTTTGGAGACCTTCTGAAACTAGAGCGACTGTAAGTGTTGACCCTTTAGATGTCTTTGCTTCTGCTTTACATTTTCCATTTATACAACCCTCTGACTGCTGTGGAGATCAGGCCACTTTGCTGTCGGCTCTGGAGGCACAGCCTGTACCTTGGCATGTAAAACAGAGTTAATATAAAGCTGTCTATAGTTTGAGATTAATGGAGAAAAAGTGAATTATCCAATTTAAAATCGGGCAAAAGAGAGGAAGAAGCACTTCACAAATGAGGTAAAGCCATTTAAAAAACTTGCATCAGAGTCTGGGCACGGCGGCTCATGCCTGTAATCCCAGCACTTTGGGAAGCCAAGGTGGGCAGATCACCTGAGGTCAGGAGTTCGATACCAGCCTGGCCAACATGGTGAAACCCAGTCTCTACTAAAAATACAAAAAGTAGCTGCGCATGGTGGCATGCACTTGTAATCCCAGATACTCAGGAGGGTGAGGCACGAGAATCGCTTGAACCTGGGAGGCAGATACTGCAGTGAGCTGAGATCCCTACTCCACTCCAGCCTAAAAGTCAAGTCTAGCTGGAAAAGAACTTAGGTCCAGCCTGGTTTACAGAATGAGACTCCATCTCGAAAAAAAAAAAAAAGCTTACCGCAGAGTTTAGTACAGTTGAACATACACGTCCCCTATGACATAGCAGTTCCACTTTCAGGTATGTACACAGCGGAAATGCACACATGTATGCACCAGAGGATGTGTTCTTGCATTTGCAGCAAGATTATTTCCGGTAGCTCCACACTGAGAACTCTCCAAATCTCCGACAAGAGTAGAGAAATAAGCTGATGTGTGGAATACAGTAACTGCAGCATGGATGGAGCTCAGAACCATTCTGAGAAAAGCAATCTAAATGCTGGAAATTGCATAGTTCTATTTTATCCTCAAAATAAATTTAAAAAGAGATAGCAGAAACGTATGTGGTGTTGAGAAGTCAAACGTTGCTCACCTTTGGTGAAAGGGAGGCTGCTGGAAAGTGCAGGAGGAAGCCCGCAGGCCTGGTCTTTTTGTTTTCCTGGGTGGTAATCACACAGCTGTGTTCCCTTTCGGACAAGGCAATGTGCTGTCTATCATGATGGCTGCGCTTTTTCAGATGAACGTTGTATTTCAATGAAGGCTTATTAAATAAGCAATGGGAAACCACAGGCCACCTGGACGTCCTTCTCTGTTTTGCCTTTTATCAGATGAAGGCACTCTGCTACTTCAGTTTTTCTAATACCTTATGTTAACAAATTTATTGTATCTAGCAGATGATATGCTATGTTTTTGCGAAAAGAAAATGCAGAACTACGTGGCTAACCTTAACCAGACATTCGTTTTCCCTAAAACAATTTTGAATTAAAAATTTATGTTCAAAAAAGGATGCCCTTGACTAATAGACAAAGTCGATCAGTAAAATTAAAGGCTAAGAGGAGCCATTCAACCACCTCATTACGCAGTTACTTCAGCCTTATTTGCCTCCGGAAGTGTCGCAGTTGCAATGCATAAAATTACTCGGCTTGCTTTGTGTTGGAGGCATTTGATCAGGGCTAGGAAACGAGGTAGGAAACTGCGTTGTACCACTCCGTTTCTGCTCTAACCTGTGTGAGCAGGGAGCCAGCCCTGTGCATGGTAGCCGTGGGTGGTGCAAGACACAGGCATTGGTCAAGCTTTAGCATCACAATGCTTAATAACTTCAAAACTCATGGGATGCCATGAGCCAGTGGGAGCCGATAGCCTGGGAGCAGGGTGGACTCAGTGGATGGAAAGTTGCTCAGAGCAAACATTAGGGGAAAGAGGAACTAAGGCCGAACCTATTTATGGGGATTCTTGATGATGATCGATCACCTGGGAAATGAGAGGGATGAGGAACTTCAGATGTCAAGGGTGGGAGGTGCTGGTTAAACTTTTACTTAGCATGGTTCTTACTAAAATTGGACAATGTAGAGATGGACAAGGAAATCTAAAAGTCATGTCTAGCTGGAAAAGAGCTCAGGAGAACCTGAGCGGGGTTTTGTTAAGAAGATCGGGGGATGGAGGCAGCAAACCACATTGCCATGTATGTACCGGGGCAACGATCCTGCATGTTCTGAACATGTACCCCAGAACCTAAAGTGCAATAAAACATACAAAGAAAAGAGTCTTTGTCAGTAGCCATCTTCACTTCATCTCTTCTCTAGGCACGGCTTCTGGGGTTGGTGAATTGGATGGGGCAGGTAAAGATAAGCACAGAGAATCAAAGTAGGAAGCATCAGGAAACTTTTTATCTTCTCACAGGTGTGTCGATGAAAATTCAGGCTCCCAAAACGGTAGATATAGTTTGGCCCCAGCTCACTGCCCCGACCTTCCCACTTAATATAGTTAAAATAAAGCCAAAATGCTGATAAGAAAATATGGCCACATGATCTTTTTTTTTTTTGAATTTGCAGTACTAATGCATCTAAGAACTGTCTTTTTTTTTGTCAGAGCCATACTGGTGAATTAAATGGGGTCCATTAACCCTGCATTCTGCAGTCCTTTAAGAGTAGTACTAATCTCTTCCTTGAAAAAGAATATTTTTATTTTCTTTTATTTATTTATTTATTTATTTATTTATTTATTTATTTATTTATTTTTTATTTTTTATTGGATTATAGGTTTTGGGGTACATGAGCAGAGCATGCAAGACAGTTGCGTAGGTACACACATGGCAGTGTGCTTTGCTTTTCTTCTCCCCTTCACCCACATTTGGCATTTCTCCCCAGGCTATCCCTCCCCACCTCCCCCTCCCACTGGCCCTCCCCTTTTCCCCCCAATAGACCCCAGTGTTTAGTACTCCCCTTTCTGTGTCCATGTGTTCTCATTTTTCATCACCCACCTATGAGTGAGAATATGCGGTGTTTCATTTTCTGTTCTTGTGTCAGTTTGCTGAGGATGATGTTCTCCAGATTCATCCATGTCCCTACAAACGACACGAACTCATCATTTCTGATTGCTGCATAATATTCCATGGTGTATATGTGCCACATTTTTCCAATCCAGTCTATCATCAATGGGTATTTGGGTTGATTCCAGGTCTTTGCTATTGTAAACAGTGCTGCAATGAACATTCGTGTACATGTGTCCTTATAGTAGAACGATTTATAGTCTTTTGGATATATACCCAGTAATGGGATTGCTGGGTCAAATGGAATTTCTATTTCTAAGGCCTTGAGGAATCGCCACACTGTCTTCCACAATGGTTGAACTAATTTACACTCCCACCAACAGTGTAAAAGTGTTCCTTTTTCTCCACATCCTCTCCAGCATCTGTTGTCTCCAGATTTTTTAATGATCGCCATTCTAACTGGCGTGAGATGGTATCTCAATGTGGTTTTGATTTGCATCTCTCTGATGACCAGTGACGATGAGCATTTTTTCATATGATTGTTGGCCTCATATATGTCTTCTTTCGTAAAGTATCTGTTCATATCCTTTGCCCACTTTTGAATGGGCTTGTTTGTTTTTTTCCGGTAAATCTGCTTGAGTTGTTTGTAAATTCTGGATATCAGCCCTTTGTCAGATGGGTAGACTGCAAAAATTTTTTCCCATTCTGTTGGTTGCCGATCCACTCTAGTGACTGTTTCTTTTGCCGTGCAGAAGCTGTGGAGTTTCATTAGGTCCCATTTGTCTATTTTGGCTTTTGTTGCCAGTGCTCTTGGTGTTTTGTTCATGAAGTCCTTGCCTACTCCTATGTCCTGGATAGTTTTGCCTAGATTTCCTTCTAGGGTTTTTATGGTGCCAGGTCTTATGTTTAAGTCTTTAATCCATCTGGAGTTAATTTTAGTGTAAGGTGTCAGGAAGGGGTCCAGTTTCTGCTTTCTGCACATGGCTAGCCAGTTTTCCCAACACCATTTGTTAAACATGGAATCCTTGCCCCATTGCTTGTTTTTGTCAGGTTTATCAAAGATTGTATAGTTGTATGTATGTTGTGTTGCCTCCGGTGCCTCTGTTTTGTTCCATTGGTCTATATCTCTGTTTTGGTACCAGTACCATGCTGTTTTGATTACTGTAGCCTTGTAGTATAGTTTGAAATCCGGTAGTGTGATGCCCCCCGCTGTGTTCTTTTTGCTTAGAATTGACTTGGCTATGCGGGCTCTCTTTTGGTTCCATATGAAGTTCATGGTGGTTTTTTCCAGTTCTGTGAAGAAAGTCAATGGTAGCTTGATGGGGATAGCGTTGATTCTGTAAATTACTTTGGGCAGTATAGCCATTTTCACGATATTAATTCTTCCTAACCATGAACATGGAATGTTTCTCCATCTGTTTGTGTCCTCTCTGATTTCGTTGAGCAGTGGTTTGTAGTTCTCTTTGAAGAGGTCCCTTACGTTCCTTGTGAGTTGTATTCCAAGGTATTTTATTCTTTTTGTAGCAATTGCGAATGGCAGTTCGCTCTTGATTTGGCTTTCTTTAAGTCTGTTATTGGTGTAGACGAATGCTTGTGATTTTTGCACATTGATTTTATATCCTGAGACTTTGCTGAAGTTGTTTATCAGTTTCAGGAGTTTTTGGGCTGAGGCGATGGGGTCTTCTAGGTATACTATCATGTCGTCTGCAAATAGAGACAATTTGGCTTCCACCTTTCCTATTTGAATACCCTTTATTTCTTTTTCTTGCCTGATTGCTCTGGCTAGAACTTCCAGTACTATATTGAATAGGAGTGGTGAGAGAGGGCATCCTTGTCTAGTGCCAGATTTCAAAGGGAATGCTTCCAGTTTTTGCCCATTCAGTATGATATTGGCTGTTGGTTTGTCATAAATAGCTTTTATTACTTTGAGATACGTTCCATCGATACCGAGTTTATTGAGAGTTTTTAGCATAAAGGGCTGTTGAATTTTGTCAAATGCCTTCTCTGCATCAATTGAGATAATCATGTGGTTTTTGTTTTTGGTTCTGTTTATGTGGTGAATTACGTTGATAGACTTGCGTATGTTGAACCAGCCTTGCATCCCTGGGATGAATCCTACTTGATCATGATGAATAAGTTTTTTGATT